AAGAATGGATCCAGAGAGTTCTCAAATTTTCCTACAGCTCCGCCTGAGTGAGGCTCCTCTCGCCTGGACGAAAGGACAGTTGGAGTGATATTATCCTTTCTCGCTTGAACTAGAATGCTCCAAAATGTCTAGTCCAAAAAAACTCTATCTTGCTGAAGCGAGAAATCCTGCACCAAAATTCCTATTTTTTTTAGAAACAAATGCAATAAGAAATGAGAGTGTTATAGTTAGTGTTGGATATTTTAGTCCCTTAAATATTAAAAATGTCACATTAGTTCTTGACTTTTATCTCTGTCAAGCATTTTTGTCCTTATACTCAGAAGGTTGACATGTCATGTTAAGTGACATGTGAAAATGCTGATTTGGCATACATAGTATTGTTTTACACATGGGTGGAAGTTTCTCCTTTTCTCTCACAAAGAACCCTAATTTTTCTCTTAAAAATCTTAAGACCCCATTTTGAAATCATAGCTTTGTTGGAGATTTATAACAAAAATTATAATTTTCCCTAACAAGTTGATGGAGGCATGAGATTCAAGCCCAAATCATAATTTTCCAACATCAAACAAGTCTTTTTCGTTTCAAAACTAATGATATCACTAGATTCAAACTCAGGATGCACCCTTTTCTTAGCTATTTTGGTCTTGCAGCTTTCAGTACTAGCCTCTTCAACAATTGTTGTGAAGTAGTTAATGGGAGACTTCACAGTATGCGCTTGTTTCATGTTAGTGGAATAACATCCCACAAACTGGTTCATTGGCCTTTGCATCATTGAAACATTAATTATTTGAATTTGTTGTGGAAGGAAAATAAAGTAAGAGAAACATTATGTCTAAATTGATGAGAAGAATGGTGTTGATGGTGAAGATTCATTGCTATAGGAATTTGTCGATGCTAAGGGGTTTTTCTTCTATGGATCTCACATAGCAAGTGCTTCTCACCTTTCTTGAATAACTCATTTGCAAGAGCAACGTTTGTGAATTATGTCTTAGGATTTGCAGAAAAATTTAGGATTCTTTGTGGCATTTTTAATATTTTAAGGACTAAAATGAGGATTTAGTCTTCTAAATAAATAATTTTTAATTTTAATCAATTTTTAGTATTTAAATTCATTTATTTATTTATTTTTACAATGGATAATGAATGTTATTTTGGTCGACACCAACAATGAAGACACATATCTCAATAATAGCATAATAACTCACACAAATCTCAAAGATTAAAAATATTTCTCTCATTTAGTAATACAAAAAGTCAATGTTAGCACTATATCCAATGGTACAAAGTTTATTGAAGGCTATGGTAGAATTAATATATTGTTGCTTAGTAGATCAAAATTATACCTTGTTACTGCATTATACAATACTAGGTCTCATAGAAACTTATTAAGTTCAAGAATATTTACAAAAATAAATATTATATTAAAACAACAAATGAAGAAAAAGTAAAAATACATTGATATCATAAAAATTATCTCAAATAAAAAATGGGAGTTAAAAATTTACCTTTGTTTTCTTCTAGTTTATACACACACACATTATTTGGCATGAATGGTTAGGTCATCTTAAATCAATCATGATGCAAAGAATAATTAAAAATTCAAGTAAACATTCATTGAAGAGCCAATAAATTCTTTAACTAGATAATTTCTCATGTGCTGTTTGTTCTTAAGGAAAATTAATTACTCAACCATCATCATATAAAATTGAAAATGAATCTCTCATATTTTTGGAATATATACAAGGTGATATTTGTGGACCAATACACCCCACATGTGAACCATTTAGATGTTTTATAATTTTAATTGATGCATCCAATACTACTAAAATTAGAAATGAATTATCTTTATCTCATCTTGATCCTTGAACAAAACAATTTGAATTGGAAGTTTAAAATATTATTTATTTACAAAGTTTAGCCAATCAACTATTAAATGTATTTACAAACCCAAAAGGAGTGATTAAATCATATGTGCTAGCTACTAATGCTCTAATTAAAATTGATGCCACAATTGGATAATTTATTGTTTTAAATGAGTTTGAAACATGTATGAAGTGTGGTTGACGTTTTGGTTCCATAGATAAAAATATTGAAAAAAAGAGAGAGCTAAGAATCAAGGTGATCAAATTGAGGATACAAACACTCTAGAAAAGTTATCAAACATAATTAATATTTCAATTCTCAAAGAAATACAAAGTACTTGAAAATTATTTAAAATAAAAAAATTTCAACAAATTATGTCATGAATATAATATAATGTAACTAAAATAAATTCAATGTTGACAAATTTTTTTCATTTAACATAGCATTGAATGTGAAGTTAATATAGAGGATTATGAACTAAAATCAATGAACGAATATCGATAAAGAAGTGATTGGCAGAAATGAAAAGATGGCATAAGGTAAAATTAATGCCGCTTAAAAAATACAAAAGTTTTTAGACACGTAGTTTGTACACTTAAAGATGTAAAGTCCATTTGGAGACAAATGAGTTTTTGTGCTAAAACAAAGTAAAAAATATGAAATTGTGAGAAATAAAGCATGACCTGAACTTGTTCATGAAGTATAGTGCAATTGGAGCATTAATGTATCTTACTTGTTATACATGACCTAATATATTATTCATTGTAGCTTATTAACAAGATATAACTATTCACTTATGAGAAGACATTGGAATGAAATTAAACATATATTTCACTACCTTAAAGGTATGATGAGATGAATTTATTTTACTCCAATGAATCTAAATCTGACTTAATTGGTTATATAGATGCAAGTTATTTGTTTGACCCTTATAATAGTACATCACAAGTATGCTATTGTTTATATGTGGTGATACACCATTTTATAACAATCTATGAAACAAACAATTACAAGATTGGATTTTTCCATCTTATAAATGATTGTACAAAAAAAGGAAGAATTAAATACATTCGAAACTTTTTTTCTTTGCTATGATTTTTTTTTTCATTAGGTTTTAACAAAGTTTTTAGAAGAAATATCTAATAGTGTATTAAAAGATAATGTACTTTTTTTATTCACTAATTTTTATCGCATAAGGTTTTTCCTAATAAGATTTTATGAAGCACATTTTCAATTAATAAGGGTATTATAAATTATTATAAGTAAATTTTCATCTTCCTACCTTCTACATAATGAAACTTAAGAAATTGTAACAATTTATTTAATTTACATTTCAAGATATAAGACTCTTGAGTTGTGGATTTAAGTTTATATTCAAAAATATGTGAAATAAAATTAATTTTTCTTTTTTTTTTAATTTTGTTTTCTCTATTTTTTTATATGTCCATTATAATTTTATGTTAATTTTATAATTTTTTCCTTTTTCACAGTTACTAGCAGAAACAAGGTTAAAAAGAAAGCCTAGTTGATTGTTGTTTAAGTTTTTTTCTTGCAAGAAATAAAACACCTTAGAATTATTTTATTTTATTTATTTGATAAAAAAAATGGACTCTACATTGCCAAAAGAAAATTATTTTTATATATTATTTATTTGAGGAAGAAATAGGGAAAAATAATATTTTATTAAAATCTCAAAATATTACTTGATATTTTTTTTCATTAAAAAGTCACTTATAAGTTACTTTTTGCAATTTTTTTATACCTTGGTAAATAATTTTATAATTTTTCTGTTTTAAAATACCTTTTATAATAATAAAAATATTTTTTAAATAATTTCTAAACTATATTTTTACAAATTTGAAAATTAATTTTTAAAATTATTAGTTTTCTTTTATAAGAAAATGCAGAACTAGGATTTTACACTTCTGAAAATAAAATTTTAAAATTAAGATTTTATACTTCTAGAGAGTAATTTTTAAAAGCATAAAATTATATTTTTGAAAACTTAATTAAGTCAAAAGAAAGAAAATATATTTAGATATAAAAATCATAAAAGACAAAACATAATTATATTTTAATTCTGTGTACAACTTTTAAATCTCTTTTTCTTTCGGGAATATTTTTCATTAAAGATAGTCTATTCTATAAGACACTAAATGGATGTCTCTCTAAGCGAAAATCTAAACGTGATTCCTCACTTTACTGAATAGTCTTTAGTTAATTGTTTTATTAATTTATGTTTATTACTTCTACTTATGATAGAGTCTTTCTAATTAGTGTTTATTAAAAACTCTATCAATACTTATTTTGAAATCATGTTGAAATACATTGAAAATAATGAAAACAGTGTTATTTTAGTAGATTTTTTTTAATTCTTTAATTAATGTTCTGAGAGTTAGTTAGCATTTTCCATTATGATAAATAATAATAACAATTCAAAATGTATTATCATAGTTCATTAAGAAATCAACAAAAGATAACTATAATTAAATGATAAAAATATTGACAAGTTTACTCTCTTTGTATTTATCTTTACATGTTTAAATGATTAATAAGAGATCCTTGCAAAGCTGAGCTCGATCACCAGAAACATATGCTACCCTAGACATGGCCTCTCTTCTATTGAGGGATCAAGTTAGGGAAGTACCTGTGATGAAGATATCCTTGTTAATATATTTCTTTTATTGTTATTTTCTCATTTACGAAAAATAAAAAGATCATTGAGGTGTGTTCACAGTTCTAAAATTATTAAATGGAATAATTAAAATGTTTTCGACTCGTCTCATTTAGCTTAGAGATTTTTCCCACCTTAAATTAAGACATCATTTTCATACTCAAAAATAAACAAACGTGCTTGTTTTATGGTATAAACTATATGCAATATAATTACACTGTATATGTTTACATACGTGGAGCTGATCTTCATCCTCTATCGCTAACTCAACTTTTTTTTCTTCTTCCTTCTCTGTATATTGATTTTCAATTCAAAAAACAATTTACGCAACAAACAGAAAAAGGTTAACAAATTTATTGCTTTTTAGGTGGATGTGTGAATATTTCGTAATCAAATTACGAGGAAGAAATATTGAACAATATTGAGTAAATAAATGGCTTGTTACGAAAACTTACAAGATATACTATTGAAATTGGTCTATTCTCAGCATTTCTGAATCCACAACACTATACGCATGATGGCCATAGCAAGGAAGATGAGCTGGGCCACGAAGAACAAAAAAAGAAAACCCTTTGGTTTTGCTAAAGCTTTTTCTACCATTATTCATGATATTATTATTCTCCTCGCCATCCATCTCAGCCAACACTTTGTAGAACAAATCGACGTTACAGGGAAGCCAAATGGGGCCATCACTTTCGAACCCAAATTCTTGTTCTGCTTCTTCTAGCAAAATCTGAAACAGTGGGTGGTTAACGTACTCTGTTTTCACTATGAACCTTTTTCTCTCCGGTCCAACGTGCACAGAAAAACAACCATGGGGCGCTATTTGACCCTTCTCATTATTATTCTCTGACAATGATTTTGCTGTAGCTTTCAATTTCGAGTGTGACCTCTTGTTGCCACTGCCACTTCCTATTGATCGGCAACGCTCCCACGCCTTCAAAATCACGTTTTTCTTCCCCATTAATCTCCTAATTCTGCAACCATGTTTGAATTATAACTTAGAAAACACACATAAATATACAGGTTTTTATTGAACATATAATAATATAGTTAGGACTTAGGAACTAATTAATATATCTGACATTTGAAACTGGAAACATATATGCATACCTGAACATTTGGATTGGGATTGGGGTTGATGAATTGAATTAAGTGAGATCACACATGCCATCCAATGGGGTATGTATGAAGAGAATGTGTTGATTTATATAGGGTTCTGTATATGTCCATTGTCATCTATGGGTGCAGAAAGAGGCTGCTAAGGACCACTGTAGTGGCGATACATAAGTCATTGTAGTTGGCATTGTCAACGCCGTAATTTTTGAAGGAGATTGTTCATTGTTCCCCTTAAGTCAATCCATCTTGGTTTGGACAAAATTGTATTATTGAAGTATTTAAGACCCAGCTTTAAGTTCATTAAAATTTTTATTCTACTCAATTAATTTTTTTTAAAAAATTATTAATAATTTTCCAAAATTATAAATTAGTTCTTTTATTCATTAAATGTGTATATATATATATATATATATATATATATATATTAAAGAATTTCATGTTTTTAATTTTATGGACTAAAATTAATGGTTATCTAAAATTAAAGTGTCGCTAATATTATTTTTTTTAATGATCAATGTTTAAATATTCATTTTAATATCATAAATTTTTTAATTAATAAATTATTTTAATGATTCACACGTTGAACATTTACATTGAAATCCACAAGAGTTATCAAGATTAATTTTGATTAAAAATTGATAAATAAAACATCTATTACTTTGAAAATAGGTTTTTTCTTCAGGTTTTTTAATTCTTATAGTTTTCAAACAGCTGCACAATTGCAACTTTTTAAATTATAGCATTTTATTGTAAGTTATACTTGTAAAATTTGAAGAAAACAATGTAACCCATATAACTATAACTGTCAACTAGTATTTCATTAACCGAATATAACTCAAGAAAATATTTAATAAAAATATAAAATTATTTAATATTTATTTTTAAAATAATAAAACATTTAATTATTATATTGTATATCTTAATTAGTAAGAGTACTTGTTCTTAAGATTTTGTTTAAAGAGAATTTTTTTTCTTTATTTTTAGACTGTAGATGATGGTAGTTCGAAGTCCACATACGTTATGACAAGAAGGAAGGGACCACCCCCTTATTGATATGTTTCCACTCTTATATGCCTTTCTCTCCTTTGGTTAGAGTTTCGGTAAATATACTTATTTAAAATTAAAAAAAAACATGATTGAAATAGAAATTTTAATTTTTTATTTATATTTACAAATATTATTTTGGAAATGAATTTAGAAAAACTATTTTCAAATGAATTAAAATTAAGTTATTTATGATGAATATAAACTATTGTATAAAAGCTTTTTAATATATATATATATATATATATATATATATATATATATATATATATATATATACTTTTACATAGCATGTAGTTGAAAAGAGAAAAAAAAAAATTATAGAAAGGGGTTTTATTATAAATGGCACACTTATCTATTCTTATATTAATATTATATAAAAGTTATATGACAGAGAGCCTCTCGTTTTATTACGTGTTATGATTCTTATCAATTAAAAGGAGATACATGGTCAAAATTTTATTAACTCTCTTTCTAATTTTGAAAAGATTGGTCACGTGTCATTCTTTTATCGGTCAAATGACTGAGTACACAATAGTAACTGTAGAACCTATGAAAAAATAATCTTATACAAAACAGCTAAATCTATTAATCAATTTTGAAAATAAAAGTAAAGTAGAACACTAGTTTGGTCCATGAAATTGCCATCAACAATGAACTTCATTGTTAATATTACAAAATAGGAAAGTTAGTTTTAAATTTTAATAATCATAAGATAATTTAGTCTTCGAAACTGATGTTAGTGATTAACTTAGTCTCTAAAACAAAATTTAATTCTTGACTTTTGATAAAAATAATTAATTTGATATTGATTATATTAATGTTGATCGTGATCTTAATAATGTTCAGAATTAAATTAATTGAGTATACATTGCATGAGCTACCAATTTTAATGTTTTACTCCATCAAAAACAATCGGTCAATTCTATCAATGGAGTTAATCCTAAACCCTTCTGAATCCTATTTTTGCCTAGGACTTGCATATCTACAGTAAAATCCCATTCAATCCTTCACCTATATATCCCCTAGGCGGAACTTCAATAATAATAATAATAATAATAAAAAGGTTTGAATAAATCAATATAAACTTTAACGGATAAATTTAATATTTAATATTTAATATTTATTATATATTTAAAATTTAAAACATAATATTAGTTTTAATTAATATATAATTTAAACTTTTGAAAGATAGTATGATATTTAATAACGTGCAATCAAATTCGATTTGATATTATAAAAACCAGATGACTTCCTTAACGTTACTTAGTGAATATAGAATTGTCTCCTTTCCTTAAAAGGATGCAATTTATCTAGTATGTTTAGAGGAAAATTATTCTACAAGATTAATAGTAACATATTAAATCGACATAATCATGTCTAAATTCAATAAATCATTTAAGGAATACTTGGATATTATCGTAAACTCTATTGTGAAAAATAAAGACAAATTTTTAATAATAATATAAATATGTTGAGATAGGATATACATATATATATATATATATAATCTTAATCATATAATTAACTAATAGTTATGTAATTCATTAAAAAATTTGTCTGTATTTAATTTTTTTAAAAGTTGCTATTTAAATAAAATTTAATCAATATTAATTAAATTTCTCACAATAACTAATATTCTCACTTAATTAATTTTTTATATTTACAAAATCTTATTTATTTCGTGAGAAAATTTTGAATAACTTACTTTTAAAAAAATATTGGATTATCAATTTTATTGTTAAATTAAAAGTTTATATTAATTAGATAAGTTCACAAAAACTAATATAGTTTAAAAAAATTTATACTTGTCAATAAACTTTACTTCAATGATATAATTAAATGATAACTATAAAATTATATATTCATTCATCTAAAATTTATACATATAATCATCAAGATAATATTACATAATTTAATAATTGAATTTATCAAATTTATATTTTTGTAAAAATTATTAAATAAATTAAATATTAAATATTTGTTGTTAAATAAAATATCTTCCATATATATAAACATGTCTCCCCGTTATCACCATTTAAAGCCTGTCTATTCCTATCCTAAATAAAAAAGAAAGATAGAAAATCATCTACATATAAATGCTTTGCTCTTACTGCACACTTCAAACTCACAACCATGTGATACAATGGTATCAGTAAGTATTATTAGGATTGTTTTTTCTAATACATTTTTAATTATTAATTAAAATTTATTAAAAATTTAAAAATTATTAAAATATGAATAATTTTTTTAATTAAAGTAAGAGTTATATTTTTATAATATTTATTAAAGCTTAATTATTAATAAAATATATTTAAAATATGTTGAAATATATATCGCTAAAGACCAAAAAATATATAAGTATACATTTTAATATAATATATATAAGTAAAAGTAATATATATCATTTGAAATTTAATTCTGCTAAATTTTAAAATCAATGTCGTAACAATAAAATCTATTATCCCACCTGAGAAACTTTCTCTACGTAGTACAGACGCAGCAGGATACTTCTAATGTAAATAAAAAATAAATAAGTAGTCATTAATTAAAATTACAAGACTGCTCTGCCTCGTTAGTTCCTTTTTAATAAAAATTTAAACTGAATTTATCTTTAATTTTTTTGTTAATTTTGTCTACCAAAAATCATGTTTATTATTATATTTGTTTTCTTTATATCACCGTATCTGTCTTTTTTTTTATTATAATTTAATTATTTTTATTTGAAAAAAACTATAATTTATATTTTAATTTTTACTAATAGTTTTAACAATTCACTAATTTCTAAACATGTATTTTAAATAAAATTAAAATGATATAATGTTTTTATAATTATTTAAGATTTAGAAGAACAAACACATTTTGTCAAATTAAAAAATTATAAATAATTAAGAGACTGATTTGTTAATAAAATATTAAAGCAACAAACCCTTATTAGACGAGTTTGTTTTCTAATAATTCTTAGATGACTCATTAAATGCTGGAAGCTTGGACTAATATGCTTTTCAAGATTTCTCCTCCAAGCTAATACTAATTTAAAGAGTGTTAGAAATTTTTCTTTTAAGAAAACTATATGCATATTAATAATTGTGAAAGTCCCTTTTTGTTTGAATATGTTGCGTTATTTTACTTTTTGTTGTATTATATTTTTCACATTAAAAAAAAAGAGGCATGGGATAAAGTGACAATAACATTTGTAAGTTAATTTGGTCCGTAAAATTAATATTAATGATTAATTTAGTCTCTAAAAATATTTAATCCTTAAATTTTGATAATAATTACTCCTTTTGCCTTTTAAAAATAAACGTTTAACATTTAATATAAAAATTAAAAATATATTTAATGATCTTATTTTTATTAAAAGTATTATGAAACTTTTTATCATATTTATTTTAAAATTTATTTATACATAAATGAACAAAAACAGAAAAAAGTTATAAAAAAAAAAAGTTTTGTTGGACATTAAGGTCTTGATTTTTTTTTTCTGCTGCCTTCTAAAAAGAAAACCTTACTTTCTTGCTTGCAAAAGATAGGAGCCCCTTGTTCTCTGCTAGGGTTTCCTCACTTTTAGCTGTGGAGGCTCTTCAAGCACTATGGAGGACATGGTAATCTTCAATGATACACTTTGAGGGGTCTCTCTCAAAACTTCTATCAATGGAAAAATTAAAAGTGGAGAAGCGTTTAATAGAGATAACGAATCTAACCGTTTGGAGCAAGAAAAAAGTTAGAATAAAACCTCCATCTTAAGAGATCAGCCTCGGAGAGGATATGTAAGAAGATGAAAGCATTAGAGTTTCAGCA